TTCAATTCAAAGGACATTTATAGAGCTTTTGCTCTTTGCGAAATACTTTTCTTGGTCCTCGTGCTATATAACAATGGGTAGGATGCTGCGGTACTAAAACCACAATGACAAAAATCTGTAACAGGGAAACACATATTAATATTACACAAGTATGTAAGCTGAAACAGATCACATGGTGGGGTGGCTTTGTGGAACGAAGCGAGATGGGGTAGGGGTAGGGTGGGGCTATAATTTATTCAGGGAAGACTGTTGGCTCTTCTTAAGAAACTGCAAGTCATCTGTCAGACTAAGCCAAGAATCAAAGAGTTAAAACAAAAGGTGAGTTGGGGACCTGTAGTAGATCATGGTTACAAGCTTATTCATAAATCCGTGGGCATTGGGAGCCGTTGAAGGTTGAGGCAGGGAACGATAGAATCTGAATTTGCAGGATCGGGAAGGCCAGATGGAAATTGTGAAGGGCTGGAAGGGGGACCAGTTTACAAGCCTAGTGCAGCAGTTCAGTTCCCAGAAGAGTCTTAGCTGGGATGTTAGGAGGCAATATATGAGAAATTGGCCCTTCTTATCTGTGCTTCTGAATCTGCAGGTTGAACCAACGGAGAATCATGTAGTACATATTTCTAGAAAAAAATCCATGTGTAAGTGGACCTGCCTAGTTCAAACCTGTGTTGTTCAAGGGTCAACTGTATAAACAAGACAATTGACGTTCACATAAAAACTTATACAGGACTGTTCATAACAGCATAATTTATAATAACCCCAAAGTGGAAACAGTCCAAACATCCATCCCCTGGTGAATGGACACACAGGATGGTCCAGAGGAGATGGTACTCTTCCATGCCTTGAAGGGAGGCACCAGAGAATAGGGATCCACGTTGTCCCAAAGACTGGAGAGGAGGTGACTGGGGGCTGGAAGAATGAAAGGAGACATTGTGGAATGGAGAGAATTGCGTTGAGCTCTAGGAGAGTTGAAGCCAGAAAGTTCTAGAAGGAGCCCAGTAACTAACATTTCCAGGCAGGGAAACAGCTGAAGCAAAGCCCTGGAGGCAGGAAAGCAAGTTGGACATGCAGAGGATGGGAAGCGGAGGTCCTTACAGAAGGAGTACTAGGGAGTGGGGAGTGGTGGGGCTGGACTAGATGGGCTCTCAATCCAGGACTGGGGAAACTGGGGGACCTGGTGGATGTCAGGTCTCAGCACTCACCACCTTTCCCCTGACCCTGGCCCCTTGGCCAGGCCAGCAGAGCCCATGCATGTGGCCTCCTTGTACGGGTTGCCGGTGTGAGAAACCACCTTCCCCCAGAAAAGAAATCCCGCAGGGCCCTCCTCACCTGGGGCTGGATATGTGGCCTTTTACAGGTCCCGGAAGTCTGGGTCTTATTGTTTTCATGTCCTAAAAGACTTCAGAAAGGAGCGCTTCTAACTCCCAGTGGCACTTAGCTTCACTCTTTAAACATCTGGGTCACAGATATGCTCAGTTAATTAATGTTCTTAGCGCCGCTCACGTGCCTGCTGGGTAATAGATTGATTCATAATTTCAGTAAGCAGCTGTGTATATCTTTCCCCTGAACATAAAGGCAGCTTGCTGTCATTCATCACTTTGCATTTGATGAATTTAAACACATTCAGAGAGACATTGTTGAAGGAGGGATGGGGCAGGGCTTCTGATTTTTTTTTTTTTTTTTTTTTTTTTTTCTGGGTCACAGATATGCTCAGTTAATTAATGTTCTTAGCGCCGCTCACGTGCCTGCTGGGTAATAGATTGATTCATAATTTCAGTAAGCAGCTGTGTATATCTTTCCCCTGAACATAAAGGCAGCTTGCTGTCATTCATCACTTTGCATTTGATGAATTTAAACACATTCAGAGAGACATTGTTGAAGGAGGGATGGGGCAGGGTTTTTTTTTTTTTTTTTTTTTTTTTTTTTTTACCATTTTGCCTCTAACAGTTATTCGGATTTGGAACTAATTTGGGTTTAAAACACATGTTAACCACATCTCTCTCTCAAGGGCATTTAGTAAACTCCTGTCACTTGTTCCTGAGGGGATCAGGCAGGCTCCCTTTGGGGATCAGAAGAGAGGGTTTCTGAGCAGCTTTCACCAGAAGAGAGAGACCCTGCGGAGCATCTTATCCCCTGATGAGGCACTTGTGTCCCGGGGCGGAGCTACTTTTCTGCTCCATTCCTGGCCAGAAATGCCCAGGCTCTCAGGAACCCATGATCATCTGAGAGGAGGTCCCTCTGCTGCTCAGCTGCTGCGCCAGGGCTGCCAACCATCGAATCTCTGGGGACCCAAGGATAAAAGCCAGGGCCCGGCCAGATGACCAGATGTCTTCATGCCTGTTTCCTCTTCTTTGAAATGGGATGGGTAATAGCACCTACCTCACAGGTTATTGTAGAAATTACATAATTTATTCTCTGTACCATGCTTAGAAATGGGGCAGAGTATGCCTCCAATATATGCTGGCTGGTAATATTATTTTGTAATGGATTAGGCATCCTTTGTATATTAATAATGATCATCACTCCTGCTCTAGCCACCTCATAGGATCACGAGAATGAACGTGAAGATTGTGCTTGCCTCTCGCCAACCTGCCCTGGAATCATCTCAGCGGGAATACAGCCCCATCCTTGTATTCTCAGTGCCTGTCCCCAGCCTGGGCACATAGAGGACTCTTCAAAACATGTTTGTGGAATTTAAAGGAATAGCTGTGGCTGCATTTTGTAAATGATGATGTTGATCACATTTGTAACGTGCTCATTCACAAACATGTTCGGAGCCCTTGGTCTGTGATTGTCTCCTAGGAAGAATGAAATTAATTGCATCCCTGCTCCAAAGGAGTGTGAAAGACAGGTGAACGTATTTGTTCAAAAGTTGGAATGCAGGGCTTTAAACAACATGGGCAGTCAGGAGAGGCCAAGGCACCAAACTAGTATGGACTCACAACTAGTTGTGAGAAGGATTGTCAGGCAATATCATCTGTGTATCAGATAGCTATTGCTGCATAACAACTACCCCAAAACTTGGTGGCATAAAACAATATGTATTTATTTATTTATTATTGTTTACAAGTCTATGGGTCATCTGGATGGTTCTGTGATCTGGACCAGGCTCAGATGATTTGGGTTGCACTCATTCACGCATCTCCCATCAGCCAGCAGCTCGGCTGAGGGCTGCCTGATCTACGATGACCTCATTCACTTGTCTGGTGGTTGACTGGCTGGTTGTTTGGACCACGTGGCTATCATCCTTTAGCAGGCCATCCTGGACTTACTGCCATGGTGGCAGTAGGGTTCCAGGAGGGTGGAAATATGCAAGGTGTATACCAGCAACAGTTGCATCCCCCTTTCTGCTACATTCTGTTGGCCAAAGCAAGTCACAAAGCCAACCAGTATTCAAGGATGAGGAAACAGACTCCACTTCCTAATAGAAATTGCAGCAAAGTCATATTGCCCAGGGTGCATAGAAAGATGTCGCCTTTTTGGGAATCTACCCAATGCTACCTAGCGTTTGTTGCAGTACATGGAGCATGGAGCAAGTACCAGGACGGGGTTGCACACTTAGGGTGTTTCTGCCTTTTTGTCATTAGAAATAACATTGCAATAAATACCCTGTACATAAACTTTTTTCTTCCAGTTTTTTTGATATAACTGACGTACAGCACTGTATAAGTTTAAGGTGCACAGCATAATGATTTGACTTCCATACATCATGAAATGATAATCACAGTAAGTTTAGTGAACATCCATCATCTCTCCTGGATACAAAATTAAACAGAAAGAAATTTGTTTTCTTGTGATGAGAACTCTTAGGATTTACTGTCTTAACTTTCATATATAACATACACCAGTGTTAATTATATTATCATGCTGTACATTACATCCCTCGTACTTATTTATAAGTGGAAGTTTGTACCTTTTAGCTGCCCTCATCCAATTCCTCCTCCTCCCCACCCCTCTACATAAACTTTTGTTCACAGTTCTAATTATATTCTTGGGATAGATTTTTTTTTTTTTTCATTTTTCTTTTCTTTGGCCGCACCTCATGGCTTACGAAGGGATCTTAGTTCCTCCACCAGGGACTGAACCTGCACCCTCGGCAGTGAAAGTGTGGAGTCCTAACCACAGGACCACCAGGGAATTCCCAAGATTTTTTTTTTTTTTTTTTGTTTTTTTTTTTTTTTGGCTGCGTTGGGTCTCTTTTGCTGCGCGCAGGCTTTCTCTAGTTGCAGCGAGCACGGGCTACCCTTCCCACGTCCCCTGCATCGGCAGGCGGACTCCCAACCACTGCGCCACCAGGGAAGCCCTCCCAAGATTTTTTAAAGTAGATTTATTGGGTCAAAGGAGAGAAACATTTTAAAAGCACACTGCTTATATTTTGCAATTCCTTTTTGAAAGGTTGTAGTAATTTACCCTCCCTCCAGCCCATCTTAGGCTCACCTTGACAAAACACAAATAATCTCTTTTTTTAAAACGTGGTGTCTCATTGTTTTGATTTATTTTAATACCTATAGGAGGTTGAATGCTTTTTCATATGCCTGTTGCTTCTTCGGTGGACTGACTCTTGGGGCCCTTTTGCAACAGGGTAGATTTAATTAATCCCGGTTTACAAATGAGGAGGAAATGGACACTCAGAGAGGTTAATTGACTCGTTCAAGGTGGCCCAGCCAGCTGGAAGCAGAGCCAAGCTCTAGAAATCGGATGTCCCGCTTTTCCACTTATTCCTGTTCCCCGCGTTGTTGAACAGAAGGCCAGACTCCTGAAACACTGACCGAGGACATGCTTAGAAGGAAGTCAGGGAGTGGCCCAGGGAATCTGTACCCAGACCTAGCAAGCCGTGGGCTTCCTGGACGGGGCGCCCCTGTGAGTTGAGTGTGTGTGTGGATGTGTGACAGGCCTGTGAAGTTGGCCGGGACTGCAGCATGGACAAAGTCCTGGGTGACCCATGTGTCCCTCGTGGTCTCACCTCTACCTCCCGTGGCCCTGCCGCTCTGCTCTCTCCCCAGCTGGCCCGCTACACCAAGGAGGGCTTCCTGCACCTGGGAGCCCTGGGGACCACCACGCTCCTCCCGGACACCCGCTGCCTGGTGGACAACTCCAAGAGTCGTCTGCCCCAGCTCCTGGACTGCGACAAGGTCAAGAGCAGCCTGTACAAGCGCTGGAACTTCATCCAGGTAAGTGCTCCACGGACAGGCCTGGCAGCCCAGAGCACGGGAGGGTGCTGCGAGCTCCCCCGGGAAGGGCAGCCAGCAAAGTGCAACCCAAGGTCTCCCAGCTTAAGGCTAGGCACATGGACTGCTGCACAGGTTCAGGTGGAATCCCTGGGGCCTTTCCCTGTGAGACAGGATCCCTGCAGCCGCGCTGGGCTGGGCTCTGATACATCTCGAGAGGGAGTTTGGGGTGATTTCTCTGGAATCTTCTAAATGCCAGAGGGATGGAGAAAGTCAGATTGAGACTATCCAGGGCAGTCCCCCGTCCTGACACCATCCCCTGACACCAATGCTTTCACCTGGTCCAGCCACTCAGACTTGGTGAAGCTTACTTAGGGAAGCTGACTTTAGGGTTTCCAGAGAAGGCCCAAAGGCCCAACGATCCCTCCCCACTGTGCACAGAATTTTGGTGGGATTGTTCCCCAAGAGGGGCCATGTGCTGGGCACTATGGTGGTTAAGTCTCTCTCTCTCTGTCCCTCTCCCTCCCTCCCCCTCTCCTTGTGTCTGTATCTCTGTCTCTCCCTGTCTCTTTGTATCTGTCTCTCTCTGTTTCTATCTCTCTGTTTCTCTCTGTCTCTCGTTCTCTATATCTTTCTCTGTCTGTCTCTGTCTATCTCTCTGTCTGTCTCTCCATCCTCGTCTCTGTCTCTCTCTGTTTCTTTGTTCCTGTCTCTCTGTCTGTTCCCGTCGCTGTCTCTGTCTTTCCGTCTCCATCGCTCTGTCTCCTTCTCTGTCTGTCTCTTCTCCCTCTCACCCCCACGTGCTCCCAGAATGGCGCCGTCATGAACAAGGGCACAGGGCGCTGCCTGGAGGTGGAGAACCGAGGCCTGGCTGGCCTCGACCTCATCCTCCGCAGCTGCACGGGACAGAGGTGGACGATTAAGAACTTCATCAAGTAGTGGAAGGAGCTGGGGCCCTCGGAGCCTGGCCCTCGGGACAGGGTCTGCGTCCTCCGGACCAGCCACGCTGGGAGAGAAAGAGCAAGGAGTCGGCAGGTGCTCAGTGGGCCTCCCGGGGCTTCTCCAGGGCAGCCTGGGGCGCAGGCGGAGACGCTGCCTCTCCATCAGGCATCCAGCTGCCTGAGGCTCATGCACCCTGGCAGAGCCCCCGACCCCTCTCCGGGAGCACAGGAGCCGTGTGTTCTGCAGCCTGGATGCGGGCCTGGCACCGAGGGCGCATCGCGTCTCCTCCCGTCCCTCTCTTCCCACCCACGCGCAGGACTGGGACGGGCGGGGGCCCCTCCTTTTTCTCATCTCTTGTAGCAGCAGCAGCAGCTTCTCAGTTCCACCTGAGCCCTCAACCAAGTGGAGTGGGGGTGGTGCTGGGCCACAGCCTCGCTCCCCCTCCTCTGAGGAGGCAGCGAGGCCCTGAGACCCAGTGTCCCCCGGGTTGCTTCTGCCCAGACACCTGTTCACAGCCCAAGATCGCCAGCCCCCACACCTTTCCAGCAGGTGGCCTTGGACTTTTCTGGACCCCACCCCCGAGATGACCCGGAAGGAGCTGATGTTTCCACGGTCACCTGGGCACTAGGATCCTGTGTGCCTGGACCAGCTCTTCCATGTATGTCGTCAGCAGGGAGGCAGAGAGCACGTGCGGTGGTCTCAGCTGTGAGGGACCCCAGGCTGGAGCCGGGCCCATCCTGCTCTGCCTGCCCAGGGGCCGGGGAGCCCAGACTCACAGTGGCTACCGCAGCGGGGACAGCAATCAGCCCCCATCTGGAGCTTAAGGACTGACGTCAGCACAGCACAGGGGGCCAGGACCCTGGAGGATGCTCTCGTGTCTCCCTGTGCTCGGCCAGCTGACAGGGAAGAATGCAGTCGAGTCCCCTCCGAAGAGTAATAACTTCTTTCTGATTGCCCTCTGGTTAGGGTGCACTTATAAATCAGAGCAGAGTTAATATATGGACGAGTGTGCATGCGTTTGAGGGTGTGTGCCTGGTGGGGCGAGTGTGCTGCTGCCTGTGCGTGCGTTCATGGCGTGTGTGTCTGGGCGCGTGCGTCTGAGTGCACGGTAGGGCAGACGTAGAGGTGTGGCCTTGGACTTGTCGCATTACTGCCAGCCCAGATCAGATCAAGGATGCTGAGAAGCTTGCGGGGGGCGGGTTGGCCGGCAGGATGTGACAGGGCTGGCGCCCCAGGTGGAAGGCTGCCCTTCTGCCAGTTCCTATCTGTCTCCCTCATGCTGTCCAGCCAAGCCCTGCCCAGAACCAAACCCCACACCTGCCCAGTTTGGGGTTCACAGTGTCTCATTTGGTGGCATCTTACTGGTGATCATTTCCCCCTTTGTGAAATAAATACATATGAGCACTTCCCAGCTCAGCCTTGTTTGCTTTTTGATTCTTCCAGAGCCCGGGCCGGGAGGCACTTCCTGGGACGTGGCAAGGGCTTCTGGTTTATTAAAAGCAAAGAGCGTTCACTTCGTGGGGTGGGGACACGGCCAGCCTGCCCTTGCTCTCGCCTCCCCCCAAAGCAGGACAAAACTTGACGTTGGACACCTGCTTGCTAACCCCATGTTGACCCCAGGTTAGGAGGGTCAGGTAGGTGCAGAAAGCTGTGACAGAGAGGAGGGCCGTGGGTGACCTGGCCAAGCGTCCTGACCCGCCTCTTTGTGCTGCTGCCCGCCACTCCCATCTCTCGAGACCAGAGTGCCCGTAGTGGAAGCAGCAGCAGAAGAGTGCCCCTTCTATTCATGGAGAAGCGAAATCCAAAAAACGGCAGGCCTTCTGCCCTGGAAGTGAGCCTGGAAGGAAATGGGCTGAAGTCCCCTGGGCATTGACAGCCCCAAGTCTCTTCCCTCCCAGGAAGCCAAGAAGATCCGGCTTGTTCGGTGTAACCCAACCCACAGACATGCGTGTCAGCTGCCGTTTGGGGGTGCTCTTTGAGAATCGGGGTCCATGAGCACAGATGGAAAATTCTGCTGTTTGGTGAGGACGGGTTCATCAAACTTAAACATCAGATCCTCGGGGTAACTCTTAAGCCAAAAGAGCCAAGGGTCTGCCGGTCCCCCCGCGGGGTCAAGGGGGCCTTGGGTAGCATTCCAAGGCGGTGCTCTGAGGAGCGGTCCTGCCCGGACTGCGCCATTCTCCTGTGTGGGTCTGAAAATAAAAGCTCAAAGAAGGCAAATATTCCATTTTACCGTTAGCTGAGGCTTTGAGCCCAAATCCCCCTGAGGTACTCAGTGGGCCCCCGTGGGATCCTTCATCCTCGGCGAAATGGGCCGAAATGGCCTCGGACCAGAGCAGCCGCAAGACCTGCTCTGTGTTCCCCAACATTCAAACTCACGTCCCCCCGATGGAGTTGGAGCCCCACCCTCTGACTTGTTCACTGCGCTTTGGGCTCAGTTCTATTCCTAAGGCTGCACCCCTAGCATACGGACAGCAGGAAGTGCCCTGGAGTTTTCAAGAGAGAAGTGTTGCTTTTCTTCAGGGCCACAAGGCAGCGGGCAGGATGTTTGGGTTTGCTTGTTTACATGATGGGGATGAGGGTGCTGGTTTAGGGCCATGGGGGGCTCTCAGCCTCCCGGCACAGCATGTGTGCTGCAAATCCTGGCTCTGGCCCTTGCTTCCAGCATCCAGGAAGCCCGGGCTGTCTGTTCATATCAGCACTGGTTCCTCCCAAAGGCCAGAGCCTGAGGCCAGCATCTGGGTCGGCATCCTCATTGCCCCACAGCATCCCAGGGGACCTAAAGGCTTGGGGGTGGCAGGCCAGCGGCCAAAGCAGAAAAGAGGAATTAGCTGTAGCCAGAGAGGGAGGAGAGAAAAGACAAGCGGAGCCCTAGGGGAGCCTAGGGTCTCAGTGCTTTAGGGGAATTTGGAAGTTCCAGAGACCCATCCCTCTGCATATCTCAGGCAGCAGGCTCCAAGCGTCGGGCTTGAGTTCTGACAACCTTTGTGCATCTCCCTGCATCCATGAGGTCCCGTCACATAGGTGCTTCCCACTCTCCTGTCTGGTGGCCGTTTCCTTCTCTTTCATTTTTTCCCCCTCAATTCATATGGCAAAAAAAAAAAAAAAAAAAACAGCTGGAATTTTGATAGGGACTGTGTTGCATCTGTAACCCAGCTTGGGGATTACTGCCATGTTAACAATATAGTCTTCTGATCTATGAAAACAAAATATCTTTCCACGTATTTAGTTAGGTCTTAAAAAAAAAAAAAAAATCACAGCTGGTATTCCTGATCGATGTCCAAGCCATCAAAGCTGAGGCCTTTGAATGTTTTATTTCTCAAATGTGTTCCTTATACTGATTCTGGGGGCTACCAAAGAAGAAACCGAAAGGACAGAGAAAGGTCAGTTCCGGCCAGAAGTCGTCATCGTAAGCCACGACTCCAAACCCTTTGACTTGGGTTTCTGAAGCCACGTTTTTTTCATCTGATATTTTTTCCACTATTCTCAGAAAGTATCCCTGTTTCACAAAGGGCAGAGCCGGTGACCCGCACACCACTGGGCTGTCCGGCGGTCGGTTGTCCCTGATTTGTATGCAATCTCTCCTCCTTCCGCTTTGCTTTCAAGGGCTGCTCTGAGAAGAGCTGAGTGTCAGAAGCCCAGGGATGGACTGGGGAGGAGCTCGGAGCCTGCGCACGGAACCAGGCGGTCCACGAAGCCTGGAAAGGCCAAGGGACCAGAAGCAGGTTCCCAATCCCCACTCATTGCCAGCGTGCCAGCCTCTTGTTTTGATTTGCGCTCCAGAGGAGCGGTTGGGCTGACAGATCACCAGCTCCTAATCAGCTGCCCCTTCCTCTCGCCCGAAGCACAAATCCCTGGGTCTCTCGGCTACTCTGCTTTCTCACTTAGGCAAGTTTCCAGGACCTACATATAGGGACAGGTGGCGGGCCCCGAACTCCAGAGGTTTACTTCAGTCCAGTTCAACAAATATATTTGGACACCTATTCTGTGGTTTGCTTTTTAAGACTTCCTGGAAGGAAGGAAGGAAGGGAGAGAAGGGGAGGGAGGGAGGGAGGGAGGGAACAAAAGAAAGAGGACCTAAAACATATTGAGCAATTGCAAGGCACCATGATGAATGATGAGTATCATGGTATTTACCCTTTAAAGCTTATATCTGAAAGAAGAAAACAGACACAATAGACTGGGCCTCCCCACCCCTGGAGCCGGGGCAGTCATGAGATGGGGTCTTTGCCCATCGGTATAAATGGGGTTCTTGGCGTGTTAGCAGATTCCACTGTTCTTTCCCCAGAGAGGCTCCAGCCAATGGGTAGCTCTTGCAAGTGTGGCTCCCAGCTTCACTTCTGCTGCTTATTGATGTGGGCCCCCAACACTGTCCAAACACGAAAAGCCAAGATGAGGAAGTGAGAAAGCCAGACAGGCATCACTGATGCTGCCGCTTGTTCCGGGACCCTGGAAACTGTCAGGCTCGCCAGCGATCATCATCCTTAATAAATGGTCGGGGGTTCCGGTTACTCCAGGGTCAAAATAACATCGAATCCGCTCTCCCACTGGATGCCCATCCACCAGTCCACTGTCGGCTTGATAAACTCTAGAGACAGCTAGTTCTAGGGCAGAAACCCTCTTTCTGACAGTGAACCAAACAAGGTCTGACCCCCTGGAACTCTGAAAGCAAGATTAACTGCCTGTTAAAATCTACCTTGCACTTGGGCTTCCCTGGCGGCGCAGTGGTTGAGAGTCCGCCTGCCGATGCAGGGGACGCGGGTTCGTGCCCCGGTCCGGGAGGATCCCACATGCCGCGGAGCGGCTGGGCCCGTGAGCCATGGCCGCTGAGCCTGCGCGTCCGGAGCCTGTGCTCTGCAACGGGAGAGGCCACACAGTGAGAGGCCCACGTACCGCAAAAAAAAAAAAAAAAAAATCTACCTTGCGCCTTAAGTCAGGGCCCCTCCTTGAAGCTTGAATGCTGCTGGTTGTAACTGAGAGAGAAACAACCTATGTTCCCTTGACGACAGCTTTATCATGGACAGAATTCATCTTTGCCGCCTGGTGAAATGGTTCACTGTCTTGGCTAGGCAGCCATGATCCATTTGCCACAGGGTAGGGTGCTCTGTGGTACCCCCTTATCCACGGGGATATGTTCCCAAACCCCTAGAGGATGCCTGAAACTACAATAGTACCAAGCCCTATATATACTGTTTTTCCTATACGTACATAGCTATGACAAAGTGTAATTCATAAATTAGGCACAGTAAGAGATTAACAACACTAATGATA